AAATTTAAATTTAAAAAAAGAAATTTTATGTGAAAACCATTTCAATTTTTTTAAGCGTAAAAAGAATTTCAACTCTTTAATTGTAAAAATTCAATTTAAATTTTTAATGTCAGCTCTTAAAAGGCACGCTCCAGCCAGCGCCGTTGTTTTGGTGCTCAGCCTCGTGCCCGCTTTGGGCAGGTCACGGTGAGGGCGATACAGCCCATCCAGCAGCTACAACTTGGCCTAATTTCACGCAATTCAATTAATTCGATCACGCCATTGTAACACTTTGCTTTCCACACCCCTGTGGTTGTGATTTTGCCATGACCACGGTCATGGCAGCCCCAAACCGCGTCTACCCCTTCCTTTGGGTCGTCCTCTCAGCCGGGAGCTCGGGGCTGGGGTCTTGCGGAGGTAGAGCCGGGTCCCCTTCGAGAAAACACAACACGGAGACACCATCAACAGCAGCACCCGCGCCACCCTGCGTCCTCCTCCAGTGACAGAGATGTCCCCCATCCCCAGTCCCTATCGCGTCCCGGGAGCCGAGCGAGGGCTTACGGATGCACTGCAGCGTGGTGTCGGTCCAGTTGGGCTTGGTGGAGCCGTCACGGAGGATGCACTGGATGAGGCTGGAGGTCCCGGCTTTCCGCTTGTAGCCCGGGTTGCAGGTGTAGCGCAGGCGGGCGTTGAGCAGGGTGTTGTTGCCTACGTCGATGTGCGCGTTGGCCACGTCCTTGGGGCGGCTGCATCGCGGTGGCGCTAGAAGAGGGCAAAAAATAAAGTGATGGAGGTCACAGCGGGGAGATTAAGCACCCTCCAGCCCCAGCTCGTTGCACTGAATGGTACCCAAGGGGGTCAGATCCTGTCAGTAGGGTGGGAGTGGGGTATCGGTGCTGTCCCGGGGTTGGGAAAGCCTCATCCAGCTGCAAAAAGATGTTGGTGAGGTGGCTGTGCCTGTGCACAGGGGATGGAGAAGAGGAAAGCTCCATTTCTGGCACATTTACGGTTTCTTGTAGCAACTCCTGCGGTCAACGAAGCTTTTGCACAGAATTTCACCCTCCCACAGCGATCATCGGCCCCGGCCACATCCCACCACCAGCTACTGCATTTCGGCTGCTCTTGTCGCCCCCTTTTTTCTCCACTCCTTTTGCAGCTGGATATGAAAAATCCCAGGTGCTGCGTGAGTCCTTCAGCCACTTCCCGGGGTTTTTTCCCTTCCAGAGGTTGCAGCCCATGGCTCTGGGGGCAGCTGAAATCTGAGCATCACATGGCGAGGCGATGGGGCGGTGATAAGCTATGAGTTATGGCTTTTCTTATCCCCAGAAGGGCTTGTGGTTCCCCTTTGGCCTTGATTTGAGGCTGGTTTCGCAAGAGGGTGTCACAATGTCACTTCTTTTTCTCTGGTGCAACAGAGAAAGTTTCTTCATTGCCCCGAGACCGCATCCGTGCCTGGATCCCTGCCGCAGGGTGGGAACGGCTCACCCGTGACCCCCACTGCCAGCTCCTGTCCCCAGCGTGAGGTGATGCTCCAGCTTTGGGATGGAGAGATGAAGAGAGGGATGAAGCAACGTACAGCTGGGATGGAGCAGTGCATGGCCAGGATGGAGCAATGCGTGGCTGGGATGTGATGCACAGACAGGATGGAGCGATGCATGGCCGGGATGTAATCAGAG